ATATTTTTTTTGTTTCTTTTTGTTTTTTGTATTTTTGAGCATAAGGCGAAAGCATGTGAACGCTTCGGACTTGTGGGTTGCAAATGTGAATGTGAACGCGAAACTGTTGGCAGCGCACAGCGGACAGCCTCGCCGCGATAAACACATGGCCGGGTCCATTTTGGCCAGTTCGTTTATTTACTTTGTAGAGTTAATTATGATGGAGCAGTGGGCAGCGCGGTCGCAATTTCCCAATCACTTGGCCAGCAGACAAAACAAGCTAAACGACGACGGCCCAACTTTGCGAGACTTTGTGAAAATATCAAAGCAGATCGTCACGCGGATCAATTGACAGAGTATTGAACAATGTACATATATGCATATATAAATATATTTATATATATACTTGTTCTTATTTAGATATTCATATTGAAATTGATATTGATTAACTCTTATATATCTCTCTCTATATATATATATATATTCATACGATCGCATTCGTCGCTCGCGTCGCGGGCGCCGGCACGAGGCCTGCGAACGGCTGCATCACGCGTGGAAGGACTCGCTTCACATGTTTTGATCGCACGCACAGCCGACAAACAAATGCAAACTGTCGTTGCACAACACTGGTAAATAACGAGCAGCACTTGAAAGCACTCGAAAAAAATAGAAGAAGAAGAACAGGAAGAAAATGAGGAACACGAATACGAATACGAGATTTATAGAACGAAAATTGTTCAAGGTTCGATAGTCGAGACGCGATACTCGATACACGATACACGATGCACGATACTCGATACTCGCTGCACGCTGCTCGACTCGCGTTATTGTTGAACGTTTGGCAGTTGGTTCGAGATCACAGAGCAGAGGAGGAAAACTAAAATCGAGCGCGCGTTCGCCTCGCCAACCTAAAAGACACTGCGGAAATGGCCGCAGTGCTGGCCTGCCTAGCCGGGCCATGCCATGCCGTGCCGTGCCGTGCCGCTCCGTGCCGTGCCCTGACGGACCCGGCCAGGTCCAAACTCTCTCCGACAGATCTCTGTTCACAATTTCCTCTGCCTGCCTGCTGCTGCTGCTGCTGCTGCTGTTGCTGCTGGCAGCGTTTGCTGGCGTGCCAGCTCTGCCTCTATCTATGCTCTCTCTCTCGTCGCTCGCGCGCGCTCTCTCTCTCCCACTCTTCCTCTCTCTCTCTATGTTTCTATCAGCTTAATACACTGTCTCTTGTCGCTGCTGCTGCTAGGTCTCTCTCTCTCTCTGTCCATGTCTATCTCGCTCGCTCCATGTGCAGCCATCTCGCTCGCGAGCCACACACACTTCCGGCTTGTTGATGTCTCTGTCTGAATATGTTTTTGTGTGTTGCATTTTGTGGTCGGCTGTTTGTTGTGTCTCTCTTGACTATGTGTGTATGTTGTGTATGTGTGCTTGTCTGTTGTGTGTGAGTGAGTAAATGTTGGCGGCTGTAAACAACAATGAACTGACGACGACGTTCGATACGCTCCACGCTCATCACTGTTGCAGCAATTTCTGACCAAGCAGCAGAGAAATACCACACACACACACACACACGCCAACACTCTCACACACTATCATACACACAGTGGACAGTTTCATAATTTGTTCAGCTTCAGCTTCAGCCCCAGTTCCAGCTCCAATTGGAGTTCCACTGCAATTGGCAAGCGAATACCAATAGACACTGGTTCCATGCCAATTGGCAGCGATTTGAGTGTTAAATTTTAATGAGAAATAATTATTATTATGATAAGCACGGGATGCACTTATCATACCCAATCGACTGAAGCGCGCTCAAACATGTGTCTGCAGTTAGAGTTTTAAGATCAAACTTCAAATGGATATAGCGAAATATTCAATAAATAATTCTATTGAATGAAGAGCAGAATTTTAGATAAGTTTATTTTCGGGTATATTCGAGCAATTCTGATGTGAAGACTCCAAGTCAATAAAATTCAAAATAAATATTTTAAGGGGTATACAGGTATAGGGTATACAGGTATAGAGTACACATATGGATAAATAAAAATTGTAAATAAATTTAAGTTAGGTTATTTTAATAGACAAAATGATATATCAGATGAAAGGACTCCGAAAGGGTATAACTTATATAAACAAAATTACTAATGATAAAATCTCATATTTTGGATAGAAGAAATGAGAGGACTCTTCACATACAATTGAGATACGTCTATATTTCCAACAAA